ATGAAAGCCGTGAAAGCCAAATGTAAAATTTGAAAAAGAAAACCGACAAAAACCCACTTAATACAATTTAAATTGTTTATTTTCTATAAACCCGCTTGCTTACAGAAAAAGTTACACGGACGAGTACTATCCATCCGGGTATTTTCCGCGGACGGGCACTATGGGCTGATAGTGTCTCTCCGCGGACGAACACTATCGCGTCACGTGATCGATTTAAAGCAATAGCAATTGGAGAAAATTTAGTGGTGAACTATAATCGCGCATAGAAAAAAGTCGTTCGTAGTTAAACGAGTCAAAGTTTCAGTAACATTAAACTGAGTGAAACATAGTTTCATAACAAACAATTGTCAAGCATGAGGGATGACAGCTGAATTAAGTTGTTCACCCATAGCAAGAAACCCTCAGTCACACATATAGCATGCTCTTCCACTGCTAGAAACGCTAGTAAAAAGTGTTTATTTGTGTTTCAGTTATCCATGATGGACTCAGAGCTTGCTTATTATCAGAAGCCATTATACCTTGATCACAAGCGATCAGTTTGTGTACCATTGTTCGTCTCCTTCATATAGAACCATGTTGAAACTGACAGTGTTTATTTACAAGCTTGCTGCTAGCGTCGATGTCATGGATCATTTATTAAAGCCTTCGACAGACCATGTCTTGGCGGCTCTAATTTGCAAATCACAGGAACCGTTTTAAATCTAAGTAATCGCGGCGAATTTTCATCTCTCCCACTTCCCATAGTAAGTGTTGAGTCATTGCTCTTAATCAAAATCTGTGTAGAATTTCTCTCCTGAATGATAACATTTTCCTCTTACCGAAGAGCTTTGTGTGTCACTTCACCTCAGCTCTATTCAAATATCCTGTTGCTCGGAAAATTCCTTCAAAGTCCGCTTGGACCCGCCCGCGGAGCCGTTATCCTGACTACGGTTGGTCGACGCCTGTTTTGGCAGTTTGATAGGCAACTGCAACATCTTAAACCTGGACAACAGGTAAGCACTGAGGTCAGCTCCCTACGAAAACTACCACTTAGAATGACATAAAGACACGGGTTTATAGCGCTGTTTGCATGGGCTAGCCAGGTGAAAACAAAGTAAACTTCCACCTGTACTTTGTGGTAATGTTCAGGGCGCACAAACCAGAAGTAGTGATTGACGTATGTTGGAAACCAGCAAAGCGCAAACACCACAACGAGGATGACCAGTTGTCGCACGACTTTGCGTTTAGACATTTCAGCCGCAACGCGATTGTTCTGTGTTACGTGCCCTGGAATGATACGATGCCATAATTTACGACAAATTAAGAAGTAAACAACAGCCATAATGGAAAGAGGAAACACGTACAATATGACGAACACACAGATGTGAAAGATCTTGAGTACTCGATACGTTTCTGTAATATCATTTGGATCTCCCCAGGGCCAGGCCTGTACACACGCAGGCGCATTGAGAAGTGGATCGAACTTAACTTGAAAAATCAGAACATTAGGGATCATTAGAGCAATCGATAAAATCCAAACGATTGCCGAGAACACTCTTGACTGTCGAAATAACTTGTCTCTCAAGGGATAGAAAACGGCGTAAAATCTGTCGATCGAAATGACCAACATTGTTAGAACAGTCGCAGCTATGGAAACGGTTATGATGTAGAACACGGCTTTGCACGTGATAGTACCTAGTGTTCCGCTAAACCATCGGATATCACGGTAAAAGAAAGCCACAGAAAACGGCATAGCTGTAACAGTCAACAGCAGATCTGCAACAGCCATGTTGGCGATGAATAGATTTGTGACATTGGTGGCTGAAGACTTCTTTAGAGCCACGAACAAACCAAAGGAATTGCCGAAGAGGGCAACAATGAAAATCAAGGCGTATGCTGCGGTCATGGCGGTCACATAATCTGATGAAAACGGGCTGATAAACTGCGGAGCAGGGCTGTTCGGACCATGAGGGACGTTTGTTCCTAAAAAGAAAAGATAAAAAATGCATTATAAATTCAAAAATCGGTAGCCACTGAATATTTGAGTGATCGATTAACTACTATGCAATTCATCCTTTTCCGCGTACTTTTTCAGTTCTCTCTGTCCTTCTTAATTAGAATGCACTAAAGCTTGTTACATGTACTAGCTCGCGCTCGTCACTCGATACTGTGATTAGTTAGTTACAATTAAATGATTTGATAGTCCACGCCACGGTTGATCGAAGGCGAACAAAGGCCTCACTGTGAAAAACAAAAGCTTTTTTAAACAAATCTTCTGCATTTGATTTCTCTCCTTTTGCAATGTCAGTTCTACCAATCAGAAAACTTAAAAACAGATTAAAGCAAATGAAGGACATTTCTTCAGCAAAACATTTTACACTAGGAAACGGCATGATTTATTATAGCAACAGTGTTACCATTTTCTGTCGCTGCAGCAGAGTCGTTGGTCATGTTTACAGAAGCTGACATCTCTATAATCCTGCTTGATAAAAGAAAACATGGAGAGAAATGAGAAACAAAACTTAATGGCAATTGAGTGACTTTTAGAATCTTGAAATTACGTGTATACGTAAGCAGGAAATCAGTATTTATTAAAAAGCATGTATTCTATCTCAAATGCATTTATGTTATTCAATGTTTGTGAAACGTCTTACAAAAGAGAAGATCAGTTTTCCTTTTTCTGTAAATTAAGGAGAGTTGTCTCAGTTACCACTAATTTTACGAATTCTCGAGAGATAAATCAGAGTGCTATTATTAAATACTAAACTGAAACGTGATCTATAAGATACTGCAAAACGTTGGGCGATCATGGGGTCGGGTAAATGAATAATGTTACCAAAACTATATACAAAAATCAAAATATGAAATTCGGTAATTTACATAATTCAAGTGAAATAATCGCAGTTCAGTAGCAAGATCCACTGCTGTTCCTGTAAGAAAGTTACTTTTCCACCAGCAATATCTTTTAGTTAACTGCCTGAAATTCGTTCTGTGTTGAGGTACAACTAAAGATCGCGAAATGAATCAGTTTCAAAATATAAATTCGTAATGCAAAATATAATAACATAAAATAGTTATGACGTTGTAAAACCTCTTTTTAAATTTCATTGTTAAGTTCTGCCCTTGTATAAGCAGTTTTCCAACAAAGACTTAGTTCATACCTCTTCTTGTCATGTCTTCTTCAATTCACCCTATCTGATGTTATTACCATGACTTTTAAGTGCCTTTTAGTGTAAAAGTAGCCACGCTAAAAGTCGTTTCCGTACATGAATAATGCGCTTGTTTGAATTGAGTGGGCATGCGACACCTGTCACGAACAACTAATTAAATAAATGCATTTTTGCGTGGATAATCGAGAACACTTTAAATGTTTAAAAAAGTTTCATTCTTTGCCAGATTTACCGCAGCAGCTTAATGTTTCAAGTACAGCTTTTGTCAAATAAGTCTGGTAATAATTTACGCCAGTTCGAGGTTATGAGAATTTTAAATGATTGCATAATTATTACAGGAAATAGCCTGATATGTGCTAATATTTATAAAAACCGGAATCAGGTTAAAGTCGGCGAGACCGGTCCTTAAAAAGGGAAAGCATTCGTAGTTACGTTTATAATTTCTTTGAGCCTTAACTCTATCTTAATGAAAATCACTGCTTGATAGCGATTTGCAAAAGGTCGTATTATCCAGCGACGACATTAATTTGAAATCCTTAGATAAACACAGGAAGGAACCCTAAAATGGCTGGGCCCATTTACTGTGTTAATAGTTACTAACTAAATTTTAACCGATAGCGGCCGGCTAGACAATTTGTAGATATATATCTTAACTCAAGCAATTATTCCGCGAAACTGAGAAAGCGAATCGTTTCTGTATGGCTTTGTCTGAACAAACTGTGAGTCTTGTTACAGAGTTAAAGTCCACTGGCTTACCACAAAGAGTGTTGGCGCCAATGCAGGCATTTAATTTACCAGAAGAAAGTTTTGTCAATGAAGTATAGAAGAATATTTTATGATATTTTAGTAATATTTGTCTATCATATTGATAGCCGGTGTTTTTGACGGAAAATTATCTTTCAACCAAGGTATCGACTCTTACTGTCACTTCTTGACGAAAATTCGCATTCTAACATATTTTCTGTATCTTGTTAAATACATTTTCCTCCGTATTTTCAAATCTTTCGCTTTGATCTCCGTTGTTAAATTTATACATTTAATATCAGATGTACCTCTAGCTTACATTTAACTTTCTTTCTTTCTTTCAACAGTAGCCATGACTGGTGTCTTGTCGGCATGTACGTTTACTTTAGGAGCTTGTATATAATAACATCAGTAACTGCAGGATCACGAAAATCAACTACGGTATTTACACTTAAGATGAATAGCATCATTTTGCCTTCGCCTTTGCTGCCTCAGCTGCTCAAGGTGAAAGAAATGAAAGAATAAGCCTTACTGATATAGTGGTATAAATGGTTGCTCTTGTATAGAGGTTCTTAAAATAGAAAAAATGATTGGCAAAGCCTTCAGTTCTTCAGGCCAAGACAAAGGACCATAATCACGAGGTGGATGTGCATTGTACTAACAGTTGGTTGTGAGGTGGAGTTCTGCTAAAGCCATATTTGCCTCTAAAACATAACTTGATAAGGAATTGTCAGAGAGTAAATCATGAGATTGTTCACTAAGAGACTTTCTACAGTTAGTCACAAGTGTTTCCATGAAAGAACACGGAGGAAGCAAAAGAGCATGAAAGGCTCTTAACTGATGACCTGACCCAATAGACCCTTTTCAAAATGGCTACCAATTATTTATTCTCTTGGAAGTTTTAAAATTAGCCAGACCAAACTTGTTTTTGAGTCGATAGTTCAAAAGAATCTTTACTCTCAGACGAGTTTAGTGAGGCTAATTTTAATCCATACAACAGAATTTTAAATTGGCAGTTATTTATGAAAGGACCTCTATGACTTGTAATGTGGCTTAAGAACTGATTGGTTTAACTTCTCTGTTCTATTCTTATTAACCGTTCAAAGTCAAAGGCTGCACTTGGTATTGGTCGTTTAGAACTGCTCTCAAATTTCTCACGCACAAGAAGCATACATCTCGAGATAGAAACGTAAAAAATAGAACTGAATAACATTCGGTAGAATTTATTTTTTACCTTGCTGTCCAAGTTTCCAATGATCTGTGCCTCTCACGTAGAACTGAATGACAAAGTGGATCCCTTTTCATAACATAGAATAACCGGCGTAACGTTTGGTTGATGTCAGGCTGTAGCGCAGAACAACTCTAGAATTTCCCGCAAGAAAAGCTCTACGATAAGTTTGCACCTCGAACAGGGCTAGTACTGTCGTTAATTTCTTTACTCGACGTGAAAGTTATCTTAATGAACCACGATTCGGGACATTTTAAGCGTTAAAACGTGCAATACTCTGTTTAAATATGGATGATGGATGACTAATATGTCATTTACGAAACGAATATATAAATATTTGCTGTTTGAATAGTTCCAATTAGTGAAGGAAGGTAAATAAATGATAGCAAAAAAAACATTTAATTTTAAGATTTTCTCCTGATAGGCTTATTTTCCGGATGGTTTTCACGAGTGGCAAAAAGCCCTGTTAGTCCTACTCACGTTTTATTTGAATAGCTCGGTTTGTTTTAGCGGTCTGAGCATACTGCACTACACGTATAATAAAGAGACGAAGAATTAGATTAGTGAGGACAGCAGAGAGTTACACAAGCGAAAGCATACAAGTACGTGGAGAACGAGTGGAGACCTCTTTTCTTTCGTTGTTCTCACTGCGAATCATTGTGTAGCCTGAATTGCAGGCGTCTCCTTTTAAGTCTCACTCCCAAGAACCAGTAATACCGTCTGTGTCGTCACTACCCGAAACCGAGTTTTTTATTTTGATTGTTTTTTTTTTTAAACGTGGGAATTATTGTGCATAAAGCTGGCGAGGAGGGAATTCAAGTACGCGTACGCATAAAGTTCATCCTGTTCACGTTTGTCCCCTATGAAAAACTCCTGCAAATCATGCTTTTATATAGCATGACGCCGTACTGCGAAACGGAGGCGGCGGAGAGGGAGGTTGGGAAAACATAAACTTTCCTTAAACTTTTTTAAAGAGAGCGCTGCTGCTTTTCGTATACTATCTGTTTAGTCTATGCTGTATTTCCTTCAGTAATAGTTTTCTTTCCAGTCTGCTTGAAACGGGCATTTTCCAATTGCGTTCGGAACGGCGTTTCTGGGTCTCTTGGGACTCTCATATTGACGCGAAATCAGCTAAGTCTCCATTTTTAAAACTACTACCTTCCTGGAACCCTCCATCCATACATTCGCGATAAACCCAACCTGTATTAGTTTTTAAGGCTTGGGGTATTGTCATGACCTGCTGTAAATAAAGACAGTGGAAGACTACGAACAGTCGGTTATTTTGTTCCTGAAATCCTCCTTGTGATTGGAAAACCCGAAGTTATATAAACCAGGGAAAGAAACGAGAAGGGAATGAGGCGAGACAGGAAAAAAACCTTTTCCTTCTTTCCGCGTCCGCACTTCTCGCCGCTCGATCGTTCTTTTGCTTTGCGTGAGTCGTGTATTCGCGCCGCATGCTAGGAAAAGAAAGGGACGACTCCAACTCTAAGCCAGTGGCCTGCATCCTTCCGACAGACTCATTTGCAAGCTGTTTATCTAAGAACTAATTGAATGTTGTTAATTACGCTTCCTACTGAGTGACCCCTCATAGATATAAACTATATATTCAAGGGCGACGCCAAAAGGTATGGTTACATAACCGTTCTGGTCTGAAATAGGGTATCTTATGTACACTTTGAACAGCAATTAACTATCATTTTAAAACAATCTATTTTTATCAGTGTTTTTAAACATAATTATAAAACTTAACATCGGGAATTTGAAGCAAACCGAAGCAATTTCTCTGCCGGATCTTGTCTGATATAGGGTTAGTGATATCACATAATTTGGTCTGAAATACAGTAAGAATTTCAAGAAGGCATTGCACATACTCCACTCAAATGTTCGGAAGGTAAAGCCGAGGAGAACACTCAACTTGAGAAATGAAACGATATGGTGCGATAATGGAAATGCTTTTTACAAAGCACTGACTTCTGAACTTTATTAAGTTATTAATGCAAGCAAGACAGGTATGGATACGGTTTTAATGAAGATGGTGTATTTCTTAAATTAATACAAATTACCGTTTACGTTACGTAATTCCCCAAATGAACTTTCGTTCACAAAAATGGTGCAAGCCACTGCACCAATTAAATTGTTTTTATTCTGGCATCTATCTTAAACATGTAAACACACACTGAACACAGACCATGAAATATTCACTGTTATTCTACCAAATAAACGTTCGTTCACAAAGGCAGCAGACCTCTTCCTGAATTAGACTAATGGTGGCTGCTATCTATAATACATGTATATACAGACTGTGAATTCCTTAATGTAATTTCTCCAAATGAACTTTCGTTCGCAAAAATGGTGTAACAGCCACCAATTAAATTTTTTCTATGCTGATATCTATCTTATACATGTGTCTAAAAACTACTGATGAATGTAATTTCTCCAAATGAACTTTGCATTCACAAAAATGGCGAAAGCCACCAATTAAATTGCACTATACATAACGTAAACACTGTCCCTTTCATGTTATAAGACGATTCTTTAGAAATCCTTTCACAGAAGTCCTTAAACCTTTCTTGTTGCAGGTGTCATGATTCCAAACACATTATTTATTCTCATTTCAACTTTGATTTCTCACTGTTTAAATCCAGTAGAAAGCTACTTCCATGAATTTTCCCAGCACAGACGTATCTTGCGCACAGATTCACAGAGGACTTAGTGTCTTGTAATACATCAAAACCGAGATACAGAGTCTTATCAGTTCTAAACATCGAGAAAGGAGTTGACAGTACATGTACGTCGCCACACAGCAGAGCATGGAAATGTGTGTGTGGAAATTTGGATTTGCTTTTGATCAAACATTGTGTCGAGCTGTAGATACACTCCTCTCTCAACTGAAACTATGACTAGCTGAGAAATGAAATCCTAAACTTCTACCCTAATTAAGCTCCGATACCCAAACTACAGTCACTGTTGTGACTTTCATTGTTTAAACTTGATGAAATCTAAATGCAGTTTGCGTTAAAGCCTACTTGAGAATTGTCTCCTAAGCTAAATAGTTTTAATAAACTATTCTATGGTTCGCGTTAATCAGTTTCTACCACTCGGTAACTGTTCAGATGAGAACAGGTCGGCTTAAAACTGCAGGGCTAATCATTGTTTTTCTGGCACATTTCTTCAAACAGCAAGTCCTTGGAGGTAAAGAAGGAGGAAGTACCTCCAGGAACTGGGTAGGTGCAGGAGGACCATCATAGAATGTAAAGCACCAAAGAGATGCTATCCTGATAACCTGTTTTTGTCTAAACGATATACTGATATATATTACTTTGAACATTTTTTTTTTTATGTTCGCCTTGTTCAGATTACTGCTTAGTTCAGTGTGGGACTATGTACTTAACAGTGACTCCACCTTACCACACTTCTCCTTTACAGATTAAAGATCAAAAGAGGTATGTCAATAAACCACTGTGCTATATATTCAGTATGCGCATTCAAGTTCGTAGACATGGGGAAACCCAAGTTCGCTAAAGATAAAACTACTGTAAACAGACAAGATTAAAGCCTCCTCCTCTAGATTAAAAGCATTTGCAATGGCGAGGCGGGACCCAAACCCTGAGCTTTACATTGGAGTCATACGCGCGAATCATTAGGCCACCGCGCTCCATTTTGGACTCAGTAAGAAAAACATGAGTTATTGACCCATAGGATGCATACAAGGTCAAAAAATAAATCTTAACTATCAACGTTCATCTTTTAAAGAGGTTGTATTGATATTACGTCTACCAAAACAAATCAGTGTTTCGAAATATTCCATTTTTCTCGCCGGTAATTTTGTTTCCCTCAGCTGCTCAAGCTACTATAATATGCTACTACAAAATTCAGTAAGGCTTCTTCCCTGTAAATAAAACTTTTGCCCTCCATACTCGATAGCAAACCTTCCTTCACTTTCCATCTTATGGCATGTTATACTCTTTATAAAATTAAATCCTGTTGCTTCATAGACGACTCTAAGGTGAGAACTCCTGCCACTTGATTTGTTCTTCTTGGCCAAGTCAGGTTAGGTCAGGTGTTTAGGCAATTTAGCGGGCAGTTGAAACGACGTAGACATGGCCACCAGCCGGCAAGCGTAGAAGCCAGCTCTCTGCGAAATTTGTCACTCATCAGGATATAAATGCAAGGGTTTATTGCGCTATTGGCATGCCCGAGCCAGATAAAGAATAATTCCACTTCAAGGGGTAACATGCCCTTTACATATAGATCAGGTCGTACGAACCAAAAGTAGTGATTGACATAATTCGGGAACCAACACAACGCAAATACGACGATAGTGACGACCAGAAGTCTCACAACTTTGCGTTTCGACTTTTCAGCTGCAGTGCGATTACTATCTGTTGCATTTCCGGGAATTATACGACGC